GGGTTAATCTCAATAATGTGAACGTTTTATAAGCATTAATGATCACAAGTGAGGTTAGCTGGATCATAAATCAAGTTCTGACTCATCTCCTTCAACTCAACTGACTTTAATTTCTGACACTAATTAGATTTTTCTTTGTTCTTTTAACTGGAATATTTAAAAAAAATCTGTAACCGTTTCTGACAAAAACTGAAACCCGCCATGTTTGATTATAAAATATGGAGCAGCCAATCCGTGTCTAGACTACGACTCTGAGAAGAATCTGATTGGTTGATCCACCTGCAGCATGTAAAACGGCTCAGAGGGAGACCACCAGGACTTTCAGAATAAATGTGGTTCAGCTTTAACTCAACTCGTTCTGCCATCTGTCACTTTCCGACGGGGCCGGTTGTTCATTGTGAGACTTTTAATGAGTCAAACACTAAATGATTTGAGTGACGGGAAAGTTAAAGTTAAGAACAAAAGCAAAACAAAACAAATAACGATTATAGATCTTCAGATTAAACTTTTAAACCTAATGAACCAATGATGTCCTGCTGTAGCAGATCAGTTTTAGATGCTTATTTAACAGGGACATTTTCCATTTTAAGTATTTTTGCAAATACAGTATTAATGTCTTATTGGTTCATGTTTTATTATTAGTATTTGTGTTTTTTCTGTTTTTACCTGTGCTCCTCTGGTTCATTCCTCCCAGGTGTCGCAGCTGCATCCTCTCTCCTCATTAGTCCCAGCCTTCATCTTCGGTCCGTTTCCACCTCAGCAGAACTCTGCAGGTCCCAGTCGTGGGGCAGACATTCATTTCATGAGTCACCAAACAGAAAGAGGTTTCAATTTGCATTGACGTTTTCTTTTTTCTTGTAAAATAAAAGCAGACTAGCAGGTGTCCGGCTATCTGGTCTGGATTTCTAATTTGATTTGAAGTAATTCTGCAGTAAAAATAATCCAGAATACAAAAAGTTTGAATGTGGAGAAAAAACTCATTCTAAAAATCTAAAAGTAAAGAAATGATCAGTGAGCAAATATAATCAGCAATGATGCGAAAACTTACATCAGTTAGTTAAAGTGCCTGTGACATCAAATTTTTATAATGAACATGAATGCATTTTTGGAAAGATAACATTGATAACATGTTTCAAAACAAATTTCACATCGCTGAGATGAACGGCTGTTGAGATATTTGCATGTGAAGAAACAGGAAGTGATGTCAAAGGGGAATGTCTGCATGTAAACAGAGAACTACAAAAGCTAAAAACACAGACTGCAGAGAAGAATCTGATGTTCCTTTAGATTATTTTTAGTCACTTCAAAGAGAGATGAAGAGTTAAARTTTAACTAATTTTGTTTTAATAAACAGAGAGCAGTGAGTTTATTTTATTAAAACATTCCCCTTTGATGTCACTTCCTGTTTCACTTTGGCTGAGCCAAATTCAAAAGAAAATAGGCCAGTTWTGTGACAAAATGGGTAAAGTCAAGTGTACTATGCCAATTTTCTTAAGTATAAAGATGTTTCCTTTGACTTTTTGTATTTGAAGGATAGGCGTGTCACAGGCTCTTTAAACTAATTAGAGCCCAGAAACTTCTCCCCCAAAGACTTCAAGCGAAGCTTTTAAGTTCTGCCTACCTACATCTTACACCTGTTTGTAGTATTCATTACACTCAGACACCTGTTCATAGCAATCAAACTCTGACCTGATCATAAAACTCGACCTGTTCACAGTTATCATTAGTTTTAGACACCTGTTAGAGTCAGACACATGTTCATAATTTCCACAGTCAGACACCTGTTTGCAGTATTCGTTTGACTCTAAGGCTAACAGGTGTCTGAGTCTGACATGTTCATAGTTATGTTTAGGTTTAGACACCTGTTCATAGTAATCATTGGAATCAGATCTGTTTATAGTGTTCATTAGATGCAGACACCTGTTAGCATTAGATTCAGACACCTGTTAGCATTAGATTCAGACACCTGTTTATAGTATTCATTAAGACTCAGACCTGTTTATAGTATTCATTAAGACTCAGACACCTGCTAGCATTAGACTCAGTCCTGTTTATAGTATTTGTTGGACTGTTAGTGTTGACACCTGTTCATAGTTAGACTCAGACACCTGTTAGCATTAGACTCAGACACCTGTTAGCATTAGACTCAGACACCTGTTAGCATTAGACTCAGACACCTGTTAGCATTAGACTCAGACACCTGTTAGCATTAGACTCAGACACCTGTTAGCATTAGACTCAGACACCTGTTAGCATTAGACTCAGACACCTGTTAGCATTAGACTCAGACACCTGTTAGCATTAGACTCAGACACCTGTTAGCATTAGACTCAGACACCTGTTAGCATTAGAC